TTTACTCTTGTAGTTTGTGTTACAGTAGTAGTTAACTGGTGAATGATGTGTTACATATAAAACATCCCTCAATCACATTATTGTCTCAGTATATCAGTATATTTTTATTATAGTAGTCGTCATCATTACTTAATTTTTATATATTTTTGGTCAGTAGTAACTTGTTCATCAAAAAATATGACAAAATTTTCGTCAACGAAATTAGCACTGGTTTGAGGAAACAGGGGGGTCACTAACTGCAATTATTTCTCTCGTTTTTTTCTTTTTACTTGTTTTTTTTTAACTGTCGGCTTACTGTAAACTGTTGTTGTGAGAGCAAAAATCAAGAAAATCAACTGGATATGCAAACAGAGTGAAAGATTTATCTTAATTTTTGGACACTTACATTCATATAATGCTATTTATTTTATATGAAATTATGGATTCTATATTTTTTCTATATGTCTTCTTGTATGTATTGACACCAGAGGACAAGGTTTTCAGCAGCAAAATGTATCAAGTTCCTATGTTTTTTTTAAATGATTACCATATACTAAAATAGCCTCCTGTAAAGGCTCAAAATGTTTATTCTTGGTTTTATAATTTTCTTTAATTTTTGCTAGCTGTAATTTATGATCGAAAGACAGTCAAAAAATATGCTTGAGACAGTCACACCATAGAACACTTGATATTTGGCTCAAAAATGTAATACAGCAGTTTTATAACAAAACATCTATGAAAGGCAAAGAGATGCTTAAGCATTTATTGCATTTTAAGCAATGACATTTTTTGTCAAACTCTTTTAAACAGAATATACAGGTTAGAGTTGAACATTTTTGGGGTTTTATTGTCAAATGACTTGATCACCCGCTTTGAATGTAATCACTTGATTGAATGGGCATTATCAGTGGTTTTCAACTGATAGATATGGGCTAGTAGAGGCCTTCTGTGCCTACTAGTTGGCTCAGAAGGCTGTTATTATCCATCCACATGGTTAATCATTATCAGCTTAATCAGCTTATCTATATTATTAGAGAGACTCCAGATCTAGATATCTTTTTACATTACTGTGACGGTTGGGTTTTGAGTTGAGGTAGGGGCAGACGTTAATAAAATACAATTAATGGTAAACTTAATAAATAATATAAATAATCTCGTGATTAATCAGCTATACTAATAGGGTATATGCCGAAGTATGCTAATAAGACTTTTTATTTGCCTGTAACCTGGGTAAAGTGCTTCCGGTGAACTGTATGCCTTTGCAAAAATGGCACATTTAAGGTCTGTTTTCTTTAAAAATCAGCAATCTCCATTGGCTGAGTGGTATCCGATAAAAAGTGGGTCTCAGATTGTACAAGAAGCACTGCATTAAATTGCATTTTCCCCACCATGTCTTTATAATATGATCATTTATTTCACCCCAGTATATTCAATGGAGCTTTCTATGCTAGCCTGCTGATTCAGACAGGCATGTGTGAGTAAACAGATTTTTGTCTCGTTTTACGCTTGAGCAACTAATTGAATACCCTAGTCTATTTAACTGAATGTATTTAAATTACATTAAAACATCGATGCTGTAATAGGAATCGTATAAAATAAAAAAAGTTCACAATAACCGGTCACCGGAAGGTTATTAGCATGGGAACAACACTAGCTCTGCATATACCCTATATAGAAAATTCCAGATCAAGATCTGTTTTTCCATTACTGGGACGGTTGGGTTTAAGGTTGGGGTAGTCGTTAAATGAATAAAATAATGGGAAATTTAATAAATAACATAAATAATTCTTGTTAACTTACGGCCAGTGCCGTATGTGATGTATAGCTGATTAAACATGTGGATGGATGATAACCATTCTGAGCCTACCAGTTGGCACAGAAGGCCAAAACAGGCTCATATCTTATCAGCTGATAACCACTAATATGGGCCATTCAATTGGACATGATTAAGGTTATGGGCTGCATTTTGACCAGTGGTGTTAATATATTTATTTATTTTTAATTCTACTCTAATTTAAATAACTTTTACAATTAAAAAAATTGTGTTACAGCCATGTCACCCTGCAGCCCAAGACCGGTTACTCACTGAAGCTAAGCAGGCTGAGCCTGTTCAGTACCTGGATGGGAGACCACTAGGGAACACTAGGTTGCTGTTGGAAGTGGTGTTAGTGAGGCCAGCAGGGGGCGCTCAACCTGTGGTCTGCGTGAGTCCTAATGCCCCAGTAAAGTGAAGGGGACACTACACTGTCAGTGGGTGCCGTCTTTCGGATGAGATGTTAAACCGAGGTCCTGACTCTCTGTGGTCATTAAAAATCCCATGGCACTTCTCGTGAAAGAGCAGGGGTGTAACCCCGGTGTCCTGGCCAAAGTCCCTCTATCGGCCCTTACGGTCATGGCCTCCCAATCATCCCCTTCCACCGAATTGGCTCTATCACTGTCTCTCCTCTCCACCAATAGCTTGTGTGTGGTGAGCGCACTGGCGCCGTTGTCCTGTGGCAGCCGTTGCATCATCCAAGTGGATGCTGCACACTGGTGGTGGTGTGGAGAGAGACCCCCTTCCCTCATGATTGTGAAGCGCTTTGGGTGTACGGCCATACACAATAAATGCGCTATATAAATACACATTACATTAAAGCAGCTTAAGATAGATGGAAAAGTAAGAATAAAAAAAAAAACTATATTTCAGACATTGGAACGTTCCAGCAAATCAGGCAGACAATGGAGTAGTAGTAGAATGCTGGTGTGGTTCTAGTTAAATTAAAACTGATTCCGTTCAGTTTAATATAAATGTTGGTGCTATTGTCTGGTTTGATAGGAATGTGAATGCTAAATGTACATGTGTTAATCCATTATGCCATTTTGAGAATGATAATGATCCTAAACACACTGCTACAAGCTCTGTTATATTACATATAGCATGTTATTTCATGTTATTACAGTGTCTTAAAAACATCTCTCTCTCTCTCTCTCTCTCTCTCTCTATCAATCTCAATTCAATTAAAATCAATTCAATAATTGCTTTATTGGCATGACAAATTTTGCAAATGAATTGCCAAGGCAGTTTTAAAGTTTACAAGAATAAAAGAACATGCATTTATAATAAAAACACTGTTAACACAGTAAACAGTAGTAGTAAAAAATAAAAAAAGTACATATACATATTTTAATTAAATAAAAATAATATCTATTATTATTTCATATATCATATTATTCAATATATCATATCATAATATTCATTTATAACAATAAAAATAATAATACATCACAATCGCTGTACATTTAACAATTAACATTTTAGAATAAAACAGAAACATAAAAAAATAATAATCAGGGTAATTACAATGATCATTTATAATAATCTAAGTGTGTGTGTGCGTGTGTGTTTGCATATGCATCACTGATGTTTTTATTAGTCTTCTTATTCTTTGTGACTTTCTCTGTCTCTCTTTGTCTCTCTCTCTCTCTCTCTCTCTCTCTCTCTCTCTCTTTCTCTCTCTCTCTCTCTCTCTCTCTCTCTCTATATATATATATATATATATATATATATAAACTATATAGATGTGTTGTGTTAGATAAGCAGTGTAATAGTGTTAGTGTTAGTATAAGCAGTGTTTGGGGAGGTCACATATACTTTTTCTTGTCTTGAAGGAGTCATTTTATGATTTTTTACAATTTTTTTATTTTTTGTGTAAATATTTTCCATTGTTTCTGTTTTTTTAGCCTACTAATGAGACAAAAATACAATTTATCTATATATGTATAGACATTACTGTACAAAAGTCATTTAGCCACCATCATTAGTCCCCCTTTGATTTATTTTTCTTTTTTAAATATTTCCCAAATGATGTTAACAGAGCATGGAAATTTTCACAGTATGTCTGATAATATTTTTTCTTTTGGAGAAAGTCTTATTTGTTTTATTTTGGCTTGAAAAAAAGCAGTTTTAGATTTTTTATGAACCATTTTAAGGTCAAAATTATAAGCCCCTTTAAGCTATTTTTTGACTGTCTTTAGAACAAACTATTGTTATACAATAACCCTAACCTGCCTAGTTAAACAAACTAACCTAGTTAAGCCTTTAAATGTCACTTTAAGCTGTATAATAATGTCTTGAAAAATATCTAGTCAAATATTATTTACTTTCATCATGACAAAGATAAAATAAATCAGTTATTAGAAATGAGTTATTAAAACTGTTATGTTTAGAAATGTGTTGAAATAATCTTCTCTTCGTTAAACAGAAATTGGAGGAAAAAATAAACAGGGGGGCTAATAATTCAGGGGGGCTAATAATTCTGACTTCAACTGTATATGTTCAGAAGAAATACGGTGTTACTTTACCCACTATATCTGCAAAAATTAATCTGAAACTTGTAAATCTATAAATCATCATTTTAATAAATTATATTGATTCTTAAATTCCTAGATACACATACATACAGTCCAATGATCACAAGACGCTTTGTGTAAAGTTACTTTTTATTAGGAAACAAATTCTGTTAAAGCTGTTTTGATGTGACAGATCACTTCAGACGAAGATGAGTTAATGTGATCATTCCTTTCTCTGTTTACGACTGGTTACAGAACAAAATAAACATTTATATTTAATAGGCTACATCTCACGACTCAAAAGAAAGACATCAATAAAAAGATGTGTCAATTTCACATTAAATTAAATTTACCTCATATAAGGTATTGATAGTCAGATAGACAGACAGATATATATATATATGTATATATATATAGATAGATAGATAGATAGATAGATAGATAGATAGATAGATAGATAGATAGATAGATAGATAGATAGATAGATAGATAGATAGATAGATAGATACGGATGGTTGGAAGGACAGACAGATAGATAGATTGACACTAAATAGATGGATAGATTTTTATAAGTATACTAAACTCACAGGATTGCTACTTACTCCAGTACGGTGAACAGGTGCAATTTCAGATTTGCTGTAAAGAAGAGATGATCTGGAGGAGCTCTGTTACAGTGAACAGGGGCGTTCCTGAGCCAGAGAGCGCAAACATCCCACTCCCGGCCTCGGCTGCGCTCCAGCTGAGAGTGTAGGATGTTTACACTCCCTGAAGCTCATATGGGTTCCCAAGTCGAGCTGGGATGGAAAGATCTGGCCATGGGTTGATAGGAAAGAATTTCTTGACCCAAACATACCTGAATATCACGTTTCGATCAATGCAAGTTCAAACACATTTTTTTAAAATCACAAACTGCCTATGATACAGGTCATGAAAGCAAAAAACAAAACAAAACAACAACAACAATGTTGTTCATATACAGTGCTCAGCAAATATGTAAGAACACCCCTCACAAATCTATCTTTTAAATTCTAATTTTTAATAGGAAGCTGTACAATATTATATTTGTGCATATACATTAGATTTGTCAGTACTAATGCCAAATCTGGAGCTTATCTAACAAAATTACTCACGATAATGGTCCAAAAACTAGTACACCCAAATTTATGTTATAGAAAAATATTTAATACAAATTTAAAAAAAAGTTAAAATCAAGAAAAGCCAAAAAAAAAAAAAAAAAAGAAATTTTGTAGGTTGTAAATTATTTCTGCAATATTTAGCTTGAATTTAATTGTATTATCTTTTAATTTCTAAATATGTTTGGTGACTAAAATATTATTTTAATAAATATCTGTTTAATAAATTTGTTTTATTGAACCAAAATACATTGCCTATATTCACTGAGAAATTGAGAAATATATTTATTTTCAAAATGGGGTGTACTCAATTATGCTGAGCACTGTATTTTTAGGGTATGACGTAGCTCAATAATATCAACCTATGTTTTTCAAAATACTGCATATCCTAACTTAATCATAAATATATACTAACACTTTTGGCCAATTAATTCATTATAATTATGAATAAGTATTCTATTTTTAATTAATTTTTCTTACTTGTCTCTTGATTTAAATAAAAACATAATCTAAATGATTAAACCTAAAGGTTGTATTTCTATTTAACAGTATGGCTGTGAAAGCACAAAGTAGAAGCTATTATAAAAAGAGTACTGTAAGGTAAATTCATAGATAATCTGGGGAAATGAGCTCATTGCCAATTTTGTTGCCAAAGTTGTTGGATGAGAGTACGTCACTGCCGTGCCTTTCAGGAATCTGGACATGCCAGTCATTAGTGTTTGAGATAATCTACCCGCTCTATTAATAGAGACACATTCCTCACCCTGCAGCTCACCGGCTGGTTCTGCTCAGTGGGTACAAGGACTGCGGGGAGAGTTTGTTTGTGTGAGTAAATTGAATGCGAGGGGTCCGGAGTCGATGTCCTGAGGGACAGAGGAGAGGCGGAGGCACCGACTGCTCCCACGGACCAGCGTCATCCGAGGAGCCTCTTCATGGCTCCTGGCTCTGATCCAGGACCCCCGGCTCACCCCTCCTCCCAAGGATGTGGCCGCTCCCGGCCCCTGTGAACCGGCCTGAATGAGAGCTTTCACATTCTTCAGTCCCCTTTTCCTCTCATTGGACAAGAAGACTCTTTTTCTGCCCCTCTTCTCTGAATCTTCTGGGAAAAGTCATCAGACTTGGTGCCAGCCTATGGGCATAAAAGGGGTGGAGGACAAGAAACACAGAGAAAGAGTGATTGAGTTTACGAGGAAGCAGGACAAGAGGGGACAGAGCCATTACACTCGAGGGGCTGAAAAATACACAGGAATAAGTTGATGAAAGGTTTAGTGAATGTAGACTTATAAAGCTTGCAAGGCTTTGCACAAAAGATTTTAATACATTTGCTGGGAGATTGTAATACAATATTGTGTACATTTGGAAATCTTTAATAAGAAACCGAAGCAGTAAGAGTCTTTTTTTTTCTTCTCGTTTATTTACATTCTAGAATTCTAGTTTGTGTGTTCTGGAATGCATTTGACATAATTTGGATGCAAGGCCTCATGATGTTCCTCCACTTGAGCCCCTTGGTGCTGTTTAGGCATTTTGACAGAAAATGTTCATAAAAAAAAAAAAAAAGATTTTAAGTTCATGGGAATGTGGCACGAGTAAAGGTTGCCTATTTATTTGGTCTGCAATGGAAATAAATGGGAAACTAATTTCTTTGAATGAAACATTTGGTACTGCACCCCCCTTAAAAAATATAATCAAAAATTGTTTAATTTATCAGCCTTAAATTTGAAAACAACTTCTATTTAAGATTTATAACTTTTTAAGTTGGAAATGTCATTTTATGTTAATGCCCAAAAAGTGGTTATATGAAATATAATTTATTTCACTGAAACAAAAATGTAGGTTGTATTTGACAACTCAAATCAAGAGGATAAACAAATACAGTATAGCATATATTTAAAAAGAATTGTACAATTTTTTAAATTATAGAAAATATTCAATTATTTTAACAGTTCAGGGTGGCTTAGTGGTTAGCACTGTCATCTTACAGCAAGAAGGTTGCTGGTTTGAGTCCCAACAGGGCCAATGTCATTGTGTTTTGTGTGGAGTTTCCTCTTAGTGCTCCCGTTACCTCGATGTCCAAAGACATGAGGTATAGGTGAATTGAATAAACAAAATTGGCCATGGTGTATGTGTGTGAGAATGTGAGAGTGTGTGGGTGATTCCTAGTATTGGGTTGCAGCTGGAAGGACATCCGCTGTGTAAAATATATGCCAGAATAGTTCATTCCGCTGTGGTGACCCCTGATAATAAAAGGGACTAACCTGAAGGAAAATTAATAAACGAGTTACATAATTATTTTAATTTAATAATTAAGTGTTATTTTGTTATGTCAACATTTAATGCTAACTTTAATACAATACATATTTACAATGCATTCACTTTATTTGTATTCCTCTGAAATGAGGAAATAAATATTTTGTATTACCATGTTGTTTTCAACTGTTTAAGTTTGTAATTATCTGACTTTCCACAATGTAAACCACTGAACAGTGTCTAAGACAAACTCAGCTGAAGTTCTGGCTCTATACTGCTCTTTGAATGTCTCTCTTATCTAGCATACCTTATTCAGATCATCAGCTTGTTGGAAGAAAGCTCTAAACTAAAGTGTGTCAGATAAGAAAGAATCCACAACTAGAAAAGCAACAGCTAAAAAGTAATGAGTAAAATCCGAATGTCAGAAATCCATGGTTCATTTTTGTTGTACTGTTATATTGTTTAATTTACTTCACCACAGTAAGGATGTCCCTGGGGACTGTCTCACCCAAGAACAGGGTGTCTGCAGGGTCAACCTAAGAGAGCTGTCCAGAGTGCTGAAACTGGGTGCTCATTAAATCTTTCATTTAGATTAACTGATGATGACCAACTAAAGCAACAAACCCTTGATAACAGTTGACTGGAAAAGATTAAAACACTGCAATCATGGCTACATACATTAACTTTTGTGTAGCAACAGACTAAATTCTAAACTTAAAGGTGTTTTTTTTTTCAGTGTTTAAATAATCTTTCTTATTCCAAAATAATATGTAAAGAATGTCCAATCACACTGGCTCAACAGTGGTGTTCAGGAGGTTGGACTGTTTGTTTTGTCCAAAACAGGCAAATAGTGGGAGTGTTCAGCAAACTTGTTTGACAACAGCAATTATTTTCCGACAAACAAATATACAATTCACCATTAAAACAATATTCTTTTTTTTTTTTTTTGCGTTTTCGCTAAACTTCAAAAAAGCAACTTTATATATGTACAGAAGTTAACAGCTGAAATGAACACTAGACATAATGAAAATGCAACAAATTAAGTGCTTCTTCTGACAGATATTGTCGTTACAGGTCCAAATTACTGATTAATAAAGTTTTGATACCTCTGAACACTTTTATCATAGCGCATACCATATTTTTTACATTCGCAACTTAAAACCAGCTTACTTTTAGTCCTCCATGATGGATTCCATCTACAGTATGAAAACCTGTTGATACATAGCTTTCAAACATGATATAATGAAAGAGAGATTATTAACTACAAGGTGCAATATTGCAACGGAGGAACTGACAATAAAGTAGCAAGTACAAAACATGCTTTTTAAAGGAACTCTCTACTTTTTTGAAAATCATTATTCATTACTTTTTTATTTTTACAAGTCCCCTAGAATTAAACAGTTGAGTTTTACAATTTGAATCCATTCAGTCAATATCCAGGTCTAACACTTTTAGCTTAGCTTAGCATAAATCATTGAATCAAATTAGATCATTGGCATTACCATTTTCTACGTTGTTTGTCAATGTGTGATTCATGTTAATTGTTTTTTTTTGTTTGTTGTCTGTTAGACCTTTGTGACATGTATACTGCCTAATCTTGGATAGTACACTCTTGTAAAAGAGGTTTTAAAATCTCAGTGTGTCTTTCCTGGTATAATAAAGGTCATAGGTTGATATGGCTAGGAACTAGGGCTGCACAGTATTGAAAAAAAAAATGTTATTTGCGATATTTACTTTTTCTGCAATATGTATTGCAATATGAATAGAATTATACAATATGACTTAACTCTAATTGCAAAGAATTCATATTTTATATTGATTGTGATGCATTTGTAGGTCAGTAAATCTGCGTAAAAGAAAATAAATACAAATTGAATAAACAGTGCTTTATGGTTTTCTGGAGAGTCTAAGAAGTATTGAGGCAAAGATCAAATGTAAAATAACAATTAAACCTTTCATCAAAGTTAACATAAAACTGTTCAACAACATCCATTCTTGTCTCAAGGCAATTTTGTCAAACTTTTGTTATCCGCTTCAAATGTTGACTACTATGGTCTTCTTTGTGGAAACAATTAAATTAAATTATCATTTGTTAAAGCTACACATTTGATCATTTCTAGTGCCCAAATGGTTTAAATTAACTTGAAGTCTTATAGTCACATGCAGACCTAAAAAAAAAAAAATAGGTGTTTTCCTGTTCCAGAATCCCAACCCAACATTGCAAATCCTGTGCTGTGATTATTGCAGATTCTCAAATTGCAATATTGATGCTGAAATGATATATTGTGCAGCCCTATTATGCCTCTGATTCTAGCATAATAATCAAGAAACTTGACTGCAGCAGGTACAATAAGTGAAGTTTATTTATAAACTAATTTCGAGAGGCTTATGATTGCTTGTAGCCAGCACCGCATTATTCAATTTATGATTTACCAATCAGATGATTCCCAAGCTACTATAAATACCCTAAGTTCTATATAACAGCCATCTTCGATTTGAAGAAGCCCCCTTTCCACTCCTACTCCTCCTTTTCTAGATGGGTGGCATGGTGGCCCAGTGGTTAGCACTGTTGGCTCACAGCAAGAACGTCACTGGTTCTAGTCCTTACCAAGCCAGCCAACGTTTCTGTGCGAAGTTTACATGTGCTCACGTGGGTTTCCCCTGGGTTCCTCCCACCGTCCAAAAACATGCAACTTAAGTTAATTGACTAATCCAAATCGGCACCATAGACATGCTAGTAAATAGTTATCTCTTAAGAGCAATCATTTTTCTGTTTATTAGCTTCTACAACAGGGGAGTTTTCAAGATCTAACTGGGCTCAAACTCCCCTCTTGCCTTGCAAAGGGGATGGAGCCCTGGGCTCGAGGATCTTATGAGCACAGGGCTCTTTCCTGGGACAGCATGCCAAACAAGCTTTATAATCGATCATCAGCTAAGTGTGAACTCTTGAAATGGAGTGAAAAATGATAAAACTCAACACAGATGCAACTCTATGGGACGTGTAAAATGAGTCTAATTCCAAAAAAAGTGGAGTGTTCTTTTAAATAGTCATTGTTCATGCTCCTGTTTCCATAAGTCAATCATTACTTAATTCCCCCTTTTTGATTTCATCATGCACATTATTTACGTGTCAATCAATTAAATGTTTTTTTTTTTTGTTCACAACAAGAATTCAAGAGCCAAAATTGCCTAATCAGACATTAAAGGACACTAGTTAGAATTATTTGCCAAACCTAGCAAGAAAAACATTTAGCAGTCCCATCTACAAAGCTTGTAATTGAAACAAAAAAGCAAGTAACAAATTATTAACACTTTTGAACACTTTTGAGTGTTAATGTATCAATTGATTCAGTGCATGGAGATTGTAGGCTTGAAAGTTTTGACTTTGCTGACCCAAAGCTGCTCTTTGGGATCAGATTTCTGTGCTTTTCATCGAGTCGCCCTGTGGGAGCCTTCATGCAGGAGGTGGGAAATCGAGAGTTTTGTGCTCTCGGGATCTGTGTTACAGGCCTTTGAAACTCTGAGATGGAGTGACCTGGAGCAGAGGAGGCTCTGATAATCTGGGTCTTAGCGCTCCGCAGGTGTCGAGGTGGAATGTGTTTTACATGATCGAAAGTGTTAATCTGACACAAATGGCAACCCCTTGGCTTCTGATGTTGACATTCGGCCTCTAGAGACGATGTTCACTGTCAGTGGAGCCCTTGGAGCTAACTCACAGCCTGATTCGCTCTCAAACCACTGCTCTTGACGTGCCGCAGAGGGATCCATTTCAGCCTGTCTTAGTTCACACAGATACGCTATTGCAGCTGCTGTGGATCCAGAACAACATGGCTGAAACAGTCAGTTGTCAATGTTGCTCACTGTTTTGTGTATATGATAGAAAACACAGAAAGGTGTGAAAACCTTCTGTGGTTTACTGTTAGAAGAAGCTTAGTCAAGTCAAGCAACCTTTTATTTTTATGGAGCTTTATGCAATGTACATTGTGTCTAAGTCACTTTACAAGGATGAATGGGATAATAATTATAATAGTCAGATAACAAAGCTTCATTAGTCTCACAAAGTTCACAAGACCAATAGAACAAGGAATCACCTCCATTTGGAGTCCACTTTTTATTCCTATGAGGCCAGGTTTGGTTAAATGTATTTCTACTGTACATTTTTTTTGTTCAGTTTAGATTTCAACCTGTGATAAATTGTATTAAATTAATGTATAAGCTAGATTTTCTTCACCAATGTACTGTATCATATTTACACAGGCAGAAAAGTGTCTGTTACACAACACAAAAGTCAGCAGGTCATGATCCAGTAAGACATTATTAATCAACCAGGGCTGGGCGATCAATCGAAAAGTAATCGAAATCGACATTCAGAACCTATAATTGATCAAATTTTTCCAATTGAATTTTTTCAATTACTTTTCCCTACATGTTGCAACGACACGTATCACAAGCTTCATGATTGGTCAGTTTGATATCGGTGACAAGTGTGGCCATGTGCGGAGAGTCGCAGGAGAGCCCGTTGAAAAAAATGTTTGCAAGTATCGAGTCACGTGGAGGAGCTCCATATGGAAACTTTTGCTTTGTGTTTACCTTATAATTAAAGTTGTTGCAAGTTCGCCGGTTCCCAACGATGGACCCATTTTTGGGCCTTACTTTGTACTACATTGACGATGACTGAAAGCTGCGCCAGATATACACGGAGATGGCATGTTTTCCATTACATTAAAATTATTATTTACATTAAATTATGTTTACACGAAATGCAACAAATGCTCTGTTTAAAATATTATTTACAGGATAGTTCTTTTATTTAAAAGATATACTGCGAATTTTCTACTTTTATTGTATTTAATTTTTTTTATAAGAAAAAAAAGTGACTGTTGGTTTTAGGCAATGTGTGTTTTAATTTAAGTTGTTCAGCATTGATGTTCAATAAATAATCCTTGTTAGTAGATAGTGTGTGTTTCCTTCAATTATTTAAAAAACAAGTAATGCACCTTTCATTCAAAAACATCTCACTTACTTTACAAAGGCTGTCATTAAAAATAATAATAACAATAATCATTCATTAATCGTAATTGAGTTAAAATGTTTAATTGATTTAAAGTGTTCAATTTTTCAAAAATCATGGTCTTTTTAAAACTTATCAGTTTTTATGAGTCATAATGAATACTTGATTGGGTGAAATACAGTATAAGAGGTGTTTACACAACATAAATGGGATTTGGCAGTCTGAAACTCAAACTTTGGAAAAGGATTTCATTACCAACTCTGTGTAAACTCAATGAGTATTACATGTTTAGTATATACTGTAAGGATGACGTGAGTGTTTGACAACCAAAATTACAATGTCAAACTTCAGGATTGAATGAGTACATTGCATAGGGCTGCTTTACAAACTGACATTCTAAAGTACTGGCCTCACACAATACAGGGACTGACACTCTTTACAATGGATCAAGCTGTATAAAAGCACCTATTGTAGATTAAGTGATTTTAACAATACCTTTGAAAACTGTTCATTTCAGTTTTTATGTAAATAATTTTCTCATTTAACACGATAAACACACTATGCGTTCCTTATAGCCTTGCTTTCATTCCTGTAAATTACATATGGAACTATGCTGAGAACAGTTGTGATCAATCACACTTCGTTTTTCATTCATTTAAACCTTTAACCACCCCATTAAGAAAAAAGAAATTAAAAAAATGTTTGTATTGCATTTCTTAACTCCTTAAGTCGCTAGTTAAAACACTCAATGCATTTCTTTTCAACACATCCCATCGTTTCATAAATATCAGCCTCTACCAAATGGTTGATAAGTCGGTTTATGGTAAAAGTACCGAAAATAATACAAATACTATAAAAATCAGAAAATATGAAGTATAAGACCAATTTATTTAAAACATAATCCATTCCACTTATACATGTGTATGACCATAACTATTGGCTTGCATTTATTGAATCTTAAGGACTTTTTAAATGTTCTACCTAAAATGAAATAAAATCATCACTATCTTGGTCTGAGTGGGAGTAAATCTACAGCTATTTTATACCTATAACATGTTTACAGTGCTTTCCAGTTGATTGTATGAGTTCATCATATGACCAGTGACTTGACTTGGTGGCTTTTCTGCTTAAACTGTCCAAAAGTAATTGCTTCTTTACAATCTGACCATGAAAATCAGATGGCTTGCTCCACTGGGTGTGTCCATGTTGGCGCAGATTTCTGGGCGAGAGTAACAGCAGTTGGCTGCTGCAAACATCCGACTGAAAGCTCCATCATGTGCACCAGCTTCCAGTCAAGGATGTTTACAGTAGCCCGTACTGCCAGCTGTTTTTTGCCCATCACGCTGACGATAAATAAACCTGACACTGACTATAACCCTAATAATACTCTGAAAATCTCTACCACTGAAAAACCATAACAAACACAGCATAAAATCTACGATGCATCCCAATTCGTCTACTTATACTGTATCCTAAAACTATGGCATGGCTGTTGGTGCCAGAGGGGCTGATCTGAGTATTTCAGAAACTGCTGATCTACTGAGATTTTCATACAAAACCATATCTAGGGTCTACAGAGAATGGTCAGAAAAAGAGAAAATATCCAGTGAGCGGCAGTTCTGTAGGTGCAATTGCCTTGTTGATGCCAGAGGTCAGTGGAGAATTGCCAGACTGGTTCAAGCTGATTAAAAGGCAACAGTAACTCAAATAATCAGTCGTTACAACCAAGGTTTGCAGAACAGCATCTCTGAACACACAACACATCCTACCTTGAGGCAGATGGGCTACAGCAGCAGAAGACCACACCAACAAACTGAGGCAACAATTTGCACAGCCTCACCAAAATTGGACAATAGAAAACTGTAAAAACTTTGCCTGGTCTGATGAGTCTCTATTTCTGCTTCATTCGGATGGTAGTGTCAGAATTTGGTGTCAATGACATGAAAGCATGGATCCATCCTGCCTTCTATCAATGGTTCAGGCTAGTGATGGTGGTGTAATGGTGTGGGGGGTATTTTCTTGGCACACTTTGGGCTCATTAGTACTAATTGAGCATTGCCAACTCCACAGCCTAACTGAGTGTTGTTGCTGACCATGTCCATCCCTTTATGACCACAGTGTACCCATCTTCTGATGGCAACTTCCAGCAGGATAAAGTGCTATAAGGAAAGAATAATCTACGACTAGTTTCACTGTAGTAAAATGATCTCCACAGTCTCCAGAACTCAATCCATTAGATCCCCTTTAGGATGGGGTGGAATGGTAGATTTTGTTCTGAAGGCAAAAGGGGTCCAACCCAGCACTAGTAAGGTGTATCTAATAAAGTGGCCAGTGAGTGTACTTTTGAGTGACAGAAGAGTAAGCAAGCTTTGGGACATACTACTTGCTCATTAATGAACTTTTCCGTTGCTTTGTTACCTGTAAATTATCAAATTATCCACATTTATTTCATATTTACTGTCTATAATTGGAGATACACTTTTTATCCGTATTTGTATTTTAATCTAATTCAATTTTACCGCACAATGTTTTGTGTGCAATATTAGCCATTAGAATAAGGATCAACACTTCGAATTTCTACCAGAAAAAAAGACCATCCAGGAGACCTAATACTTCAACAACTTCATTTTCAGGCACTATGATTTGGGCCATACTATTTAGCACAGATAGTATCACAAGACTGCAAACTCTAAAGGCCTTCCGTTGTTCCTACCTCTGTGTCCATGGAGAGACAATCATGCAAGGTTTGATCCACCTTGTGACGCTATGAGTGCTGGTAACCATGACAGAAAAGAAATGTGCTATTTACATTGAAAACACTGGAAACTCAGTGCCTGCCATTTGTTTTGCCATGACTCTCCCACAAAGAGCCAATCTGATGAGGCTTCACACGCAACATATCCCTGCTGACTGCAAACATCTCCTAAACACAAACACCAGAGTTGCTTCCTGCCAACTCCCTCCAATCACAAAGTGTCCATCTCTATTTACTCTTTAAACGAAGCTGTTAGGACCCCCATGTTTTGAGGGCTGAGATGGCAGATTTCTTCAACTCCCTTCAGCCTGAGACTCAAGAGTGTTGCTCTGAGAGAAGTGACCTCTGTAAGCTCGCTACACATGGAACGCCAACATTAAACTTAAATCTATAAATCAGCTTCATTTTCTGTCGTCATTCACATTTTCTTGTCAATTTTTCCACTCATCTGGCCTCTGAAAGTGGAAATGTGTGTGAGTGAGAATAGCTGCATGTCAACTTTGACAAAGTGACAATGGGAATTTGGACTGAGTCTCTTTTCTCTCTCTTGCATTTTTGTAGCTCTAGGAATTAACTGAAGGAACTCATGCATCCAGATGTGGATTTTAAGTAAGGAAAATGGCTGCTTAAGATATTTGTGAAGTTCATTGACATATGGGTAAAAGACAAATGCCATTGCCATTTTCCTGCTTTTGACGAGATATATTGTCAATTCAAAAACATTGTTTTCCTGCCATTAACGGGTTTCTACAGCAATTTGTTTTAAGTATATTATGGTGTGGTAAGTCCTAGCACATGTCCTGGATGAGTTACAGAATTTCTTGGTCCCATGGGAGCAACCTGTTGTTTGTGTGTGCCTGTGTGTGTATTATCTACTATAGATCTTAAAAATGCACTGCTTTATAAAGATGCATTTTTCTAATTTTTGGGTGAAAATGTTGCATTTTTGATGAACCCATATCTGCATTCAAGTGGTGATAAAACATAAGCGCATGAACAAATAATTAAATAATTAAAAGTAGAGGCTCTGTTCTTTGTTTTGATATATAATCATATTTTCCTTGCAGAAAATATTCAGAGGGCTGTCAAATATAGGTTAAAAATGCTGACAATGACTGGCAACAACAACAATATAAATGCTGGTGGGGAAAGAGTTAAGCATTAACAATTAAAATATAATAATGCCAAAAGAATATAATTTTATATATCTATAATACACCTTTCTTAGACTCAAGGAGCTATACAGCATAACTATTTTAAGATTCTATTTAGTAATTACTTTTTCCACTATCCTGCAAACCATTAGGTTTTTCCCATTTTTCAACAAGAAGTCTTTATTTTAGAAAGTTTGTTTTAACATGCTTACCTTGTCTTTTATATATTTTTATAGGTCGGAATCAGTATGTAATTCATTTTTTACTTCATTTTTGTACATTAAAACATTTTACAGAACAAAACATTCACATACAGCAGTGGTTATTAAAAAAGTATCACTAGAAGTAAATAAAAACAAATTACTAAGGATACAGCTGGAAATACTATGTCCTTTTCAGACAGTAACAGGTGCCCATCTTTGTTTAAAAATATCCAATTTTAATTGAAGTTGGAAATCATATATATTCCATTCTATATATGTATTCAAGTGTGTTCCACTGTGCTATTGTTGGAGGGTGTTTCCTCATCTAATTTATTGTTATAATCTTTTTTGCACTTAGTAAAAGTATGTGTAGTATATATCTCTGGTTTTTATTATGTACATCCTGGGGTATCCCTTCAAGCAAGAAAAACAAGGGAGTAAAAGGTAGAATCATTCCTCTGACTGAACTGTTGGCATATTTTGATATGTTATTGAACTTGCAGCCTTATGGATTACAGAGGCCCAAATTTCCTCAAGTCTCAAGTATATAATCTGTCTGATAAACAATCGAAGCAAGACCACAATGCATGCAAAACATGAGCTCTAATGTGTATGAACATTTACTTAGTAACATAACATTGTAACCACAGAGCAGCAGTCAGTAGCATGTGGCGTAAAATAAATAACAGGCTGTTAATGAGACGTGGCTCAAAGTGTGTGTGCGTGTGTGTGTGTCTGTGTTTAACAGTGTGTTGAGACTGTTTAGGGTCTGCTGTGTAGTGTACTGACTCTGGTGAAACTCCCAGGGTCCCATTTCCCTCCCAGTGTTCAGGTCATGGAGGGAACAAAGCAAACTTTATCAGACCACTGCAATCCCACATTCCGCAGATTCTTAGCACTTGGCAACCGCATAGCATGTAGTAAGGCAGGGACGCAGGGAGAGGGAACTGGGGGAAGGAGCGGAGAGCGAGACTAAAAGAAAAAAGGAAGGGATCTGGCTGTGAGACTGAACACACACGGCCTCCACCCAAACAAGGCCTCTGATCGCATCAATTATTGGCAATGGGTCTGTTCACTGTGGCTTTACAGTTACATGGTTTGACTTGAGGACTTAGTTTTCAGTGGGCCACATGTAACAGTCTTGGTTACCTTAATAAGAATGGTAAGATTCATTCATTCATTTTCTTGTCGGCTTAGTCCCTTTATTAATCAGGAGTCACCACAGCGGAATGACCAGCCAACTTATCCAGCAAGTTTTACACAGCGGATGCCCTTCCAGCCACAACCCATCTCTGGGAAACATCCACACACATTCACACACTACTGACAAGTTAGCCTACCCAATTCACCTGTACCACATGTCTTTGGACTGTGGGGGAAACCAGAGCACCTGGAGGAAACCCACGCGAAGGCAGGGAGAACATGCAAACTCCACACAGAAACGCCAACTGAGCTGAGGTTCGAACCAGTGACTCAGCGACCTGACCTTCTTGCTGTAATGCGACAGCACTACCTACTGTGCCACTCGCCCCAATGGTAAGATATGGAAGAGAAAAAAGTTCATTGTTTATAGGTTAAAGAGGTAAACTATTTGGGTGATGTTTAAACACAGTCTATTTTTTCTTATTTTAAAGAAGTTCTCTGATTGCAAGGTTAATTCTCATAGATTTAGTTTGTTGGAAAAAGCAATGCAAATGCGACACAGTGAAAACGAAAGTGTAATGGACTGTTACATTACTGTGTTTATTATTTTAGATTAGCAGTGATTTTATAGGCTAAATGGTGCTGTTGTTTGCTTGTTTCTGCAAAACATAATGTTAATAGGTTTTTTATTTTATACTTAGTACATTTTTTAAAACAACATCTTTATTGATTTTAAAGAGCTTTTGCCATCAAAATCAAAATATTTTTTTCTAAAAAAATGTATAATAGTAATAATAATAAAAAATAATAATATTTTAAAAAATAAATACATATATGAGCAATATCACACTCGTAGCAGTGCGATATGGCTGTATATCAGCATGGGTGGGAGGCGCGCGTTGACACGAGGCCTTAGCGTCCCACCCGTGCTGATATACAGCCATATCGCACTGCTACGAGTGTGATATTGCATTTATACAACAGTTCAACAGCATAATCGTGTATATAAATAAGAAAATCAAACACGGAGAGTCTAAAAACCCCTTTTTATTAGGAACTACT